ATTACCACGAAAATTTGAGCGAAAACGATGGAAAACGAAGGAAAACGGAAAAAATGGGATTTGCGGAAAGCTGTGAATTTTTAGAAATTTTCCCATGGAAGAGAAAACTCCCCACCTCGGCCACGGCCATGGATTGATGACGTCATTGCTGAAAAATTTTATTTTTGATTTTTCTCCGTTTTTCTTCGTTTTCCATCGTTTTTGCTCAAATTTTCGTGGTAATTAATCGAAAAAAATTAATTTTATAATTTTTTAAAATGTTTTATTGCTTGTGCGATCAATTTTTGGTTTATTGATACTTTTAATATCCCAGACTATTCGAAAGCTCAAAATTTAAAGACGTATCTGTTCTTCCCGCAAACTGCTCAAATCGGAAACGAAAAAATTTGAAATTTGAGATCACTAAATTCTGAGATCAAGCGTATCAAAGTCAATATCTTTTTAAGTTTTTTTCGATTTTTAACTAAGCTATGATCTGATCCGTGTATCGTATCAGATGAAGAAAATTGTAAAAAATCTAATCATGAAATAGAGGTGAGGATTCTGTGACGGTCGGTCGAAAATCGACCACCGCCGACCGACCACCAATTGCGCCGATCAGTCAGCTGGGACGACTGGCGATCGGTCGGCCGGCTAAATTTGCCGACTAAACGGAAACCTCAAATAGGAGGTTGCGAAACCATCGAAGCTCACAACTTAAAACCGGCGAAATGAGTCTTTATCCGGCGGTGCTGGGTATTTATAGGCACACTGGATGTGGGTATTACAAAGGGCTTAACCAGAGGTGTGACACGAAAATCGGAACGAGAACAATAATATATGGGTCAGTGGTTGCTAATGGGAAATATTAACTTTTTTAGAGTTTTACAGAATCCAAATGTATCGGATGTTGATCAACACAAAATATTCTTCTATTTCAGGAATTGTATAGATGGAGCTCTTAAAGGATTTGCACTTCCCCGGTAACTGGATAATCTTAATTGCTGGTTGATTTTTTGCTACTTCTCGTTTCACGGATTTTTCAAAGTATTAAAATTTCAATACACACCTGCTCTTCTCTCAATGCATTCATCAGGCTCACTTCGTCATCCGATGGGTCATCACTGATAGCACCTTTGGAATTGCGTGATCCTCCAGATGAAGACATTTCCAAGATTGCTGAAATAAGTAAAATAAAAATTAACCAATGAGAGATACAAACGTTTTCTTTAAACTATTCGTGGCTTATATATACAGGTGAAGCACGTGGTATAGGTGGAGCTTCCAGAATACGGGCAAAATGGGCGGTTCACGAGGTTTGTGTGGGTTAATTATAGGATACAAAACTAAATGATGTGGGTTGGTGTACTTATTTCCGTATGATTCTACGAAAACTACAAAAAATGGTGTTTCAGATAGCTAGAACAATTCAAAAAGGTTAGATAGAACATAATTTATTTTCTCTAACAGTGCACATTTTCAATAGTAGTACACCTGATAGTACACTCTAGATCAATTAGCACTCTCCAGCTTAATAGCACACTTCATCTCAAATATCTCTTGTCTTATCAGATACATCAAAAATCAATTCATTGATAAGATGTTTGATTTTTTGATATCACTAGTTTTGACATCATATACAGAAATTAAGATACCGTAAATGGTTCAATAGAGACCCACCTCAGACGTGAACTGTGTGCTCAATTATCTCGGTCAATATGGAAGATATCATAAATCTATCAACAGGCAAAATGTTGGTGATATCATGACAAATATAATTTATCAGTTGCATTTTTTCGTTTTTTTTTGAAGGATCCAAGATGATTCAATTCAAAATGGATATATGGGGTGGGTTTCTATTATAGAATTGGAATATCTACATGGTAATCAACTAGCCTTCAAATTAATGAGTGCAAGTTGCAGCAGAAATTAAAACGATTTTCTGTACGCGGATGGGTTGCAGTACTTTCGATGAGCATTGTAAATTATTCGAAGAGCATATATTCTGGGTTTTAGAGCGGATTTATGAAAAGTATAGAAACTGGTCTAGTTTTTCAGATTTTAGTTTAAAAAACTTGCGATTCTCAAAAATATTAAAAGATTCTCAAAAATATTAAAAAAATACAAAATTGCTGTGAGGTTGTGCCCTTATTCTCATATGATTCGAAAAAGGACAAAGCATATGGTGTTTGATACTTGAATAACGAATTAGAAAGGTGAGATCCAGAAAGATCTGTGAGATACCAATAACCTAGTCATTTCGCTGTGGATCATTGGAAAATCTCAATTGAAAAAATTTCAGAGATGTGGGATGAGGGGATATGAATCAAAATAAAGACCAAAGGAGAGGAGAGAAAATTTTTAAGATTTTTTTTGGAATATCGGAATGCCTTTTGACATGACGAGTTTCGTGTTTAGGCTTCACACAGCACGTTACTATCGTGTCGTTTTGTATATCTCATCGTTCGGCAGTCTCAGCTTGCTCCACCGTAGCTCAGCTGGTAACTGCTTGGATCCTCCAGCATTGTGTCGACAAGATCAACTTCTTGAGAAGCGCATATGAACGGAATTTCAGAAAAAAAACATTGTTTATGTTCTACATTAAATGTACAATTCCATAAAACCTTATTTTTAAGGAATGGGTTAGATTTTTGACCTGGACGCTTTGAGCAAACTACATATTGTTAATCTGCCTAGATAGAGCATCGTCACCGCTCTGCCAATGTTTAACGGGCTCATGCGGGTTGTGTGGGTTAATTACAGGTTACAAAATTGTTGTGGGGTTGAGCCCTTATTCCCATATGATACGACAAAGGGCAAAGCATGTGGTGTTTGATATTTGAATAACAAATTGGAAAGGTGAGATCCAGAAAGATCTGTGAGACTATACCTTAGTGATTTCGATATTGATCATTGATAAGCTCGGTTAAAAAAATTCCGAAAAAATAGGGGATGGGGATCATGAATCGACAAACAAGGTTAAAGGAGCGGACACAAGATATTGCAGATTTTTGTTTGAATGGCGGTATGGATTCTGAAGTTACGAGGTACAGTGATTAGTGTATACACAGCGCCTGGCTATCGTGTCGGTTTCAGATACATAAGAAATTGGTCGGCGGAATGTCTTGTACCACCAGTAGCTCACATCAGCTGAAAGCGACACGGTAGCTCAATCGATCATAATTTTTAAGAAAATGATCAAATTTTTCGACCTGCATGTTTTAAGCAAACAACTCATTTTCAATTTGCCTGAATAGAGTATCTGCACCGCTTTGTCAGCATTCAATGGACTCATAAGGTTTGTGTGGGTCAATTACAGGATACAAAACAGTTGTGGGGCTCTGCCTTTTTTGTGAAAGGACATGAAAACAAATGTTCTCGAAATTTTGTTCATATCGGAACCTCTAGGAATTGACCTTTTGGACCCATTACTGTATGTGCCACGTCGTTACTAGCTGCGCCATGGTGGCGGAGCGATAGGGTATATAAAAAGAAAACAATGGCAATGCGTTGTGTAAACACTGAACACCGTCATGTCAGAATGCATTACTCTGAGAAAATTTCCGAACACAAGGTATGCAGATTGTGGCGGAAATTGAAATGGGTCTCAATGACTTTGAAAAACGATGCAGAGATCATAAACTGTCTGTTCTTCCATGAACCTTATGGGCCGGATGAAAACAATTTTCGTTTTGCAGTTTCCACTAATCCTAAAATTTTCGACTTTCAAAAATTTCAAAGTCTCTATTTTTCACATTTCTCCACAAACTTCATGGCTTGAATATACGGCTCTTACTCTTAGTAATTGCACAATTTTATAAACCCTATTTTTTAGCAAACTGCATATTGTTAATCTGCCTGGGTAGAGCATCGGCGCCGCTTTGTCAGACTCCCGAGGTTTGTGTGGGTTAATTACAGTTTAGAAGCGCTTAATGATGTGTGGTCGAGCCCTTATTCTCATATGGTACGGGAAAGGGAAGCACATCTGGTGTTTGATATTCGAATAACAAATTAGAAAGGTGAGCTTATCTTAGAGGCCATACACTAAAGATTTCAATTTTGATCATTTGATAATTTCAGTTGAAATTATTACAAAACAATGTGGGATGAGGTGAATTGAGAGCAAGGTTAAAAGGAAGGGGAAGTGCCGCACCGTTGCCAGCTGAGGTACGGTGGCGCAAGCTGATGTAGCCAAACGATGGGATTTAAAATCTTCTGTCTCTCTTCTTTCATGGCTTTTTGGAACTTTAAATGTTCCTACAAAACGAATATGACCGTTTGGTTCAGATCAAAGACGATATTCTTCTTCAGCACCTCAAGCCCTCAGGAACGTCAAAATTATTAAGATTGATCATTTAAATTTCAATCATAATTCCAACATATATAATTGACAGGATCCAGATCTGTATACACATCTCATTTTGTCCTTCGACTAGGATTTGGACTCCCGAAAGAGCAAACAATATGCGTGCAATCGAACTCGGTGCATGTTGAACAAAAAAATGACACTAAGTGTTTTATCGTAGCAAGGACCGATTGGTAGAAGATATCAAGAAAATTTAGTGTTGTTAGTTCTTTTTCACTCGCTTCGTTTTTCTTGTTCCTCCTCCGCATTTCGTTTCTTTTCCGAGCAAAAGAGGGAATGGTTTCGTATTTCACGTTGCTTCACTTGTTTTGTGTTTCCTTGTGTTGTACTCAAATTTGAAATAAGTGGTGGATCTTACAATTTTGGTTTGTCATCATTGTTCCTATTACCTACACAAGTAGTGTACTGTAAAGACTCTAGTGACCTTTCTGACTGTAAACCTTGATTCAATTTATTTCGAAAAAATATTTACCTTAACATTGAGAACATTTTGCCAGCGGACAACTTTTATAAATTTACTCAAAGTCGAGCCTTAAGAATTTACAAATGTAACTATAAAAAATTGAAATTTTTGATTTTCCGGTTTAAAAATTGCTAGACTCTTGTTAATTTTTGAATTCATGTTCCCGTTTCTTGAAGTTCCAGGTAACCCTAATCAAAGTTCATTCATACTTTCATCTTTCATACTCTCATCTCTTTTTATCTATCCCCAGAAATTTCCATTTTTTCCAAAAACTACTAATCACTATTACTCTACCTGATCTCTACAACACCGTCACTTCTTTTTGTGTGCTTTTACTAATTTGACACTTCACCACCAAATAAAAAAAAGAACTACAAATCATCGTCATCAAGAGAACAAAGAGCATACAAGAAAAAATATAAAAAAATGTATCCAGTGTCGTCGATCGTATCAAATTACTCATCGAACTTTTTCTTTGAATCAAATTTTTTATTTCCGAAAGTTGATCTTTTTGATTTGTTCCTCAGATACTTTCTCATGATGACGGATGTTCCAAATGAAATTTGGAAGTTTTTTTTTATTTGAAAGGAAAAATCCAATTTGTGTTCTGCACTTTTTCTTCTTCTCCCATTTCCTTCTGTTCCCAATCCGATTCTTAGAAAAAAGAGATGAAACTTCTTTTTTTTTTCCAATTTCTGTCTCATTTCGCGCCTACCTGTTTGCCAATTTACTTTTTGAAACAAAACACACATTGAAATGAATTGAAATGAATTGAAATCGCAAAAAAAGAGTCAAAAGAAGCCTAAAACCGATTAGTTTCGCCATTGATCACAGCTGCAAATAGAAAGAATAGTGACATTTCATATCAAAACGTTGAGTTTCTCAAGAGCAATTTCGAAATTATTTCTTCTTGAAATATGAATTTTAAGTTATTTCTGTGTCCTTCGGTATGTGAAAAATCAAAAGATCAGTTTTAGATAAAGCTTTCTAGAAAAGAGAGAAAAGTTTATAGTAATAAGAAATGCATGAGAATTCCTAGTTGTTGATGTTCTGTGTGTGGTTTTTGGCGCTTTATAGTTCTAAAGTAACAAAAAATATCCTTCTTATATAGCTCAGGGAAAAAAGTTTCAAATAAAGGCTACAAAGATTTTCTGGCACAAAATTCTGAAAATATCTAAAATGGATTTTTTGCAAATATTCTGAGTTTTTTTCTAAAATTATCCCCAATTATTTGTAAATTGTCCACTTTTTTGTCGGAGTTTTATTATTCCTAAAAAGGTCTTCAGGGATGTTTTCCAAATTAAAATTGAAGCCTGAAAATGAATTTCTAGCGAGAGTC